AAAACGGATCATGGAATTAAGATCAGCTTAAAAAAGTAGCTCGAAATGATGGGTCACAACACCCCCTTCATATTTAAAATAATTTATCACATTTCAAAATGGCGGATCCAAGATGGCGGCCGAAAAAAATACATCAGTCATAACCAAGTGAAAATAGGTGGACAATTACTGGTAGTGTATACTTATCTTTATCTAGCACTATTTTGAGATTATGGTCTTAGTTTGTAAATGCACAATGTTAAAATGGGCTAATAATAAAGTTTTAAAAAGCTCTCATAACTTTAAAATGAATCAAGATTTTTAAAAACGGTTTGCGGCATTGTAATCAGGGTAAAAATGTAGTTCGAAATAATGGGTCACAACCCCACCTTTACATTTGAAAAAAAAATTTTGCATCCAATATGGCGGATCCAAGATGGCGGCCGGAAATGACCACCTTGTCAAAATGAAGTACTTACTACACAACAATGTTTGGAAGTGGTCTGGGATTGATATTTGAAAAAATGTAGAAAAAAGTTGGGGGGGGGGACAATTAAAACTCACCCTGTATAATAGGTAGATTCTACAAAACGAATAATTGTTTGAGAGTTTTTTTGCTACGAGGTGAAATAAACCCACATATAAAACATACTTCCATAGATAAAACTACTATGATATCCAATAAATTTTAAATTGGTTGCTTTTAATTGGCTTTGGTCATGAAGAGTGAGATGCATATCTCAATCTCAATTATAAGTTTCGTTTCAACTTAGCAACTACTTCGGTATCCAATAGTCAATGGTTTCAGTTATACAACATTAGGCTATTTCATCGATCTCTGTAGTAATAATAGAGATCGATGGGATATTTATATTAAATTTTCATTGGTGTTCACTTTTTAATTCACATCAAACCCGTTAAAGAAAGTTGGTAAGCACCAAAAATGACAAGATAAAAAACATACTGAATTCAAAGATTAGTGATGATAGCAAACTGAAACTCTACAAAAAAACTTAAACTTAAGGGGGGCGAAGCCCTTCTCAAAGGAAGTGACCTTTTCAGAAACCATTTGTCACTCCGCTCGAACATAAGATTTACAATGGCACATCAATCTTTAACATCGGTTAAGTAGGACGGCTGAAAAAAGGATGTAACAGAACATCCTTGATTTATTAATGTTATAGTTGGATAGATATTGTTAATTAATATTGATGTAGGCATAATACTCTTGTAAACACTCCCTACCTTTCACTCAACGTTGGTAAAGGTACCTATCACCATATTGACTATATATCACTATTGTGTTATAAAATAGTCAATGCTATCACGCAACAATTTGTATGAACTAGTTCGAGCAAGGCGAAAAAGATGTGGTAGGCCTATTACAATGGATGAGGGGTAATTTGTAATACAGCACAGATATTCCATAAACAGTAGTTTTTCTGCATTCTTCCTGTCCATTAAACCTCTGTTTCTATTGGCTTCGTTGCATGTTTAATGAGTTTTATCATAGATAAAACATACTCTTTTATCTAGATCAGAAAATGTATGTATGAACTGGATAAATATTTCCATTTTCACTAAAGTCATTGAAAATGCAAATGTGTGTACATTATTTCAACCGTACCGCCAGCATTACAGTATAGTAAGCTTTTAGAGCCATTCTTTAATCAATAAGCAATATGCGTGGATTTTAATTTTATATACTTAACCCATTTTATCCGACTTTGACCACAGTCACCTTTCTTTGACTGTACAGCAACATGAGATCGTGTAAAAATGCCACTAGCAAAACTGGCATAGACACGATACAAGAAAAAATTAGCAAAAGTACTGTACTATCCGACCACATGTGGCCATGTGGGTGGACTGAACCTGGACTTCTGTTGTGTTTGTGTGTAAATGTAAACAAAGTAAACATGATCATGAACATAACATAACCTCATTATTTATCCAATTAGCTCAAATCTGAAGTGTTACGATTTGTATTTGTGATGTCTTTTGCGCTCTTATAGTTGGTATCTAAATATTATTCCTACAGTAGTCAGGTTTTTTTATCACTTGTTCGTTGGTGCTCACAGTGTAGTTTTCTACCACTTTATACAAGTAACTTTGGGGCTTCCTTGTAACCTTAGTCTTGATCTGGCTTGATACTGTGAAAGTTATAAAATTATGATATAGGCTAGCTCTATTACCAAAATGATTATTGGGTCTTGAAGGATCTCTATAATTTTCAAATTTGACTAATTAACTTATTCTGGTGCCCTTCGATGATAGTTCGAACTTATCATTGTGGCTGTAGGTCCCTAGAAATTCATAATAAGTTATAAGCATGGGAGCAAGCTGGTTTAGTGGTAGAGCACAGGACTTTGATTCCTGAGGCCCCGGGTTCAAATCCCGCCAAATCACCAATGGGTTTTATCTAAGTGATATGTTAATGCTGCAACACCAGGGCTAGCCTGAAGTAATGTGAAAAACCACCTAGGACTCGTGTCCTAGGCTAGCGTCCTAAGGCAAAATAATATACCGGCATGCATTATCTATAAGTTATCTTTCCAAAAATGTTGATTTTGACAACATTTTCACTCCAACATCTAAGTCGTTTAAGGTAAATATAATTTAATATAAGTAATAATAAACTTACTACTGTAAGCTAAGTAACTTACTTAAATGTGTTATTTGTAGGTAAACATGTCAAGGTGGTTCCCAAAGCTGTGGGAGTTTTAATGGTGACCTTCCGATCAAAACAAGTTGAAGCAAACCAAACTTTGATATATAGCCTACCTAACCATCGAGTATACTTAGGCCTACTTTTAGACTGATCTCAGTCAAGAATAAATTTTGGAGGAAAATCTTTTTTTACAATAGGTATCGTTAAATTATAAAACTACAATTTGGTTTGTTGAGTCATTTGATCCCAACTTCTCATCATCCAGACGTCATGATTAGCCTAACTAAAAAATAAGTCTGAATTCATGAGGTAACTTAGCTTTGTTTCGTGTAACATTTCAGGCCTGGATGCATCAAATAAACTAATAACGATTACCACTAGCATTGTTGTAATATAATGCCTAAACCTAATAAGTTAAGTTTTAGAATCAACTTTTAGCTATAGGCTACGTTAATATATAAAGTATAAAAAATATAATTCTATTATGGGGGAGTAGCTGTATCTGTGCAGGTATATTGTCTTCGCCATTAGCATTTTATAGTTAAGGAATCACTTAAACGGTTTAAAGGGTAGCCTACCCTAATTAGTCCAAATCCTACTAGCCTACACATCTTCAATCATGGTCACTTTAAAAAACTATAAACACAGCCCAGGTATTATAATATAAAATAAACATAGCATAACTAAACTTAGTGGCTTATAGGGACATCAGTCCCTAAAAAGCTCAAATGTAAAACTACTTATTGCAATTCCGGTATTGAAACAAATTTAGAATAACATTATCTATGTGTCAGGATAGGTATCCCTATGTACACCATATCTTTTGTGTAAACAGTTTGTTGTCCGTCTTTGTTTGCTTTATTTGTTGATGTTATTTTCAATAAATAATTCGAATCACTCCAAGTTTAACATGAAAAGGCAGCAAACATATCATTGTTTGTGAATAAATACTGGTTCACTAAGGTAGCTTTGGTCTTGTGGTTAATGAGTATAAATAAAAACTTCCCCGATTGGAATTTCAGAAATTGTCTTCGTCAAATAAATGAAAAGGCAAATATTGGTGTTTTGAGATAAGCTTATTTCTTGGCCAAACCCGCCAATTATCCCAGTTATTATTTCTAAGTTTATACTCATTTTGTTAAGGTTGAACAAAATTAGTGTAAAGTAAAGTCATCTTATTAACCAAACTTAACCCTAGATTTTGTTTCTGATCGACATAAAAAAAACGTCTGTAAGTTTGCGTGGTGGTATTCGTCCTAAAGGTGCAATTGACTTTATATATGCTATCAAAATAGGCCTGCTGATTCCTACTTATTTTGCGACTGGTTAGGGTTCCATTACCCAGTTAACGAAACAATTAAGAATTTCTCCATTTAATCTTGAATCATTTATTATTTAGTCAATGTTGTTATTTCATGTTAAACATTTCTTCAACACAACAATACCGGTAACCTTCAAATTAAAATAAAATAACTTATTTTTTCAGCCATTCTAAGCTCAATTCCTTCTCCTATGATTCTACTACTTCATACGCATAACTAAGTTACTTAAAAATACACAAATTTGCAAATTGAACAGTAAAATAATTGATTTCCAAATTCTAAGACGTAACTAAAAAGTCTTAATTAAGTTATTATAGGAAACGTTAACCCTGGTTTTATATGGTATACATTGTGGTACATTGCAGAATTGACTGGCAAATGAGTAATCAAAATGTAATATTGCTTATTTGCTCAGTGATAAATCACAATCAGCTGTATTGAAGTACCGGTAAACAAAAATCAGTAGTAAATGGCTTATAATGATATTCTTATGGAGAGAACATTTTACCTTATGTCTAATTTTGTGTTAAAATTTGGGGAATTTCACTATTTTTCCCGCCGTCACGGAGTCGAGACCTTTAATTTGCGCCCTCTCCCATCGTTCTACGACTTCCCAGTCGCCCACAATTTTGACGCAAAGAATCGGCTTACGTAATTAATATATAGATTAATAGTAGCCTAGTTAAAAATGACTCACATGTCAAAACTCGTAGGCCTATTAATAACTTAGTATTTAGTTCGTGCAAACTTCAGAAAAACGGGTAGGGACTTTGTTTAGTGAGTTGAAAATAGTTGATTTGGCTGCAATACAAAATATAAACATTCTTAAATGAAAAACAAATAATTGGCAAACAATGGCCAACTGTTGATCATATACCTACTTAAATTATAGCCTACCTTGTGTCAACAATTCTTAAACTAAATACATTTTTTAAGCAAATTCTTGAGTTACCAATTTGCAGCCACAGTAAAATTGCTTTAGAAGAAATTCACTATAATTTTACTCACCAGTCTCCTGTATGTTACAGACATATGATGTTTGGCTCGGAAGGCGACTGCAGCGGTCTACTGACCCTCCACTACGGCAAGCACCATACGTCACTAGTCTCGGAGATCCGGCAGTGGTTCGACGCAGAGAGCTTCGCAGACGTGAGGCTCCTGTGTCGTGGAGGCACGCTGCTGGCTCACCGACTAGTGCTGGCGAGTGCGAGTCCGCTGCTGTGCAGGATCCTGCAGGACTGCGGTCGAGGCGAGCCCACAGTCACAGTGCAGTTGCCAGACATATCATTCACCAACATGAAGTGCATGCTGGACTTCCTGTACACCGGCCAGGCCTGCGTCAAGGTGAAGGGTTATTTGTCAAAGTATGATTTATTTAGATATCTTGTAAAAAAATATCTTGTATTTTTGCACACACAGTTGCAGTGTGTGTCTGTATGTTTTGCTGGGCAGCAAAATTGAAAGCTACACCAGAGTCCCCACAATCCAAACTTATTGGGACCAAATCCTCCTTGGATTACCAAATTTTTTGGATCAGCCAAAACTCCAGTAAAGTTGGATGAAAACCCAAAAACAATTTATTTTCTGGCTCTAAATTACCACGATTACGATTTCTGGCTCCTACGATCACGACAACATTGTGATCGTCTCCTTCGATCGTGTTCTTCTTATTACAGAATGACTTTAAAGGAGAAACGCCCGGCTATAGGTAAAGTGGGACACTGGGTGTAATCGGGGCTATAGAATACAGGGGCTGGCTCACGTCGACTAGCAAAGTGGTCCCACTGCCGTGTGGCTGTGACGTCACCGGGCTGACTCCACGGGTGTAGCTAGCGCGCGACAAATATACAAACCGCTCATTTAAATGCTTCCCTAAATGTACACAATTAAATTGTCCGTATAAAACTTATATCGTTGTAATCTGCATTAACTACAGAATCCGATGGTCCAACAATATTTTAGTTATGATCAATAATATGTATTTTAAAAGGGGAAAATTATAAGGATTACAAACTTGTGAAGTACAAAAAGTCACTAAGCGGGGATTTTTTATTATTTTTGGGATAGGAACAAACTTTGAGCGAGAAAAATATTCATTAATACTAATAGTTTTATTTCAATAACTAGCCTGAAAATTTTTGATAAAATAAAACCAACGGGTCGTTTATTGTTTATCAGGAAGTAAGGCTTTATAAACTTGGCGATCACATTACAGTTCCGCTCATGTCCGCATCGTGCTGGTAAAAAAATGTTATGATCCCAAAACAATTGCACTGTTTTTATTAGTGAAACAAGTAATTAGTGCTAAAACTGAATTTTAAGAATAATTGTGTAGACTTAAGGCTTAGAATGTTATTTTATCTTGTTTGATATTCCGGTACCGGTACCCCTTGTCATATAATTCTAACACTTGGTTGGGTATCTTTTAGGAATGTGTAATGGTTTAGGCAATTTTATATTGTCTGTTAAACAAAGTGTTTATTCGTAGAAAATAAGTAAAAGAGCGTTTTAATGCGATGGTATTTTTATTATAATAGTTGTATCCTATTTAGCTGATTTTAGCCACTTACTCATCTTCTGATCATTTTTCTTCGATCTTCTTCAGAAACAAACGGAAGACGCAAATAACAATGAAAGAGCGAAGTTGTTTTATTTGATGCAGTGTTGCCATAACAACAACCTAAAATTTGCAAGGCGAGCGGCAAAATTACCCGCCAGCGCTCAGTAGTAACAATCGTCTTTTGACACGATTTATTAATGAACTGTTAGGGGTATTTAAGAATTGTTAAGTAATTACTAAGGAAGAACTGATTGACTACAGTTTTCTCGCTGAATGTTTGTGCCTAACCCGAAAATTAAAATGTTCCTCGCTTAGTGGATTTTCAAGTTTCATTATTGTAGTTTCTCTACGTTTGTTGGTATAAAACCAATTTGATTGTGGTTAACTAAAAACTGTTTGGATATTTGGATTCTTCAGTTAATGCAGAATAAAACGATATAAGTATCATATGAGAAATATGTTCGTACAACGGCAGAGGAGCGTGTAAAAGAGTGAGATTTTCGCTGGCCGCGTAATGGAAACAGGCCCGACTGTCAGCCCGGTGACGTCACAGGAGGTGGGGGAGCGGGGCCGTGTCGGCAAGTGCTACATCAAAGACGTGAGCCAGCCCCTGTATTCTATAGCCCCGGGGTGTAATATTATACCAGACTTGATGTAGGCTACTGTTGTTTATTAATTAAGCTTAGTTAAGTTCTGTTTTACCCAAGTAGCGATGAATACTATTGCGGAGGAAAATTGTGGAGTGTGCTGACATGTATTTGACAGAGCAGTTTTTATAGTTTGTAGGCCTGCATACAAACAATGAAAACCTTTTAGATGTAAAACCTGTTCTCTCTAGGACATATAGATATATAGTGGTGCTGTAGAAGAAGTTTAAGAAATTATAGATCATATACCGTAATTACCGGTAGTTCATTGATTGTTGTAGCTTGCCCCTGAACTGGTAAGACACGTACACATTAGCCTATTTTTATTCTTCCTATTTTTCATCCGAGTTAAAATTAGTTGCCTCTTTATAAAACCAAGGTTTCAACGCTAATTGCAGCTTATTGAAAATATAATATTTCAACAGTTGTCTGTTCCTTGGACGTCAGCAAAGAATTTTCAAATATGTTTTCTACATACACAGGGGAACCACATATTACTCATATTATATCCTTGGGTCCTAGGTTTTATGAAATAGCAACTTATTTGAACCAGGGTTAACACTAGTTCATTAAAAAAAATGGAGACTGGAATATGTTTGCTTTTAAATTGCCTATGCAAAAAAGCTAAAATATCTTGATCAATAGGGGAGATTAATTTTTAACAAGGGAATTTGCCATCCAGTGTACTTATTGGACTAGGTATGGCATGAACCTTTTCAATCTTAACTCAAATCTCATCAGTTTGAAAACAATTGTATTAATGTAATTTTTTTTCCAGCCTTCCGAGATCCAAGGAGTTGTTGAGCTGTTCGATCTTCTAGAAATAAAATCAGAGATTTGGGGAGGGAAACCATTGAGCACAGAGCCCCAAGGAAACAGCACGAAAGAATCAGAAGATAAGACGAGCTGGAACTCCGAATCGAGCGGACAGGAGGAATCTAGTGTTCAAGAAAATGTGGAGCCGAATAGTGCGAAAGAATGTGTTAGTGCGAGTGGTGAAAGTACTAGTCTCTTATGTGTGACCGCGACAGTCAAAACTGAAGTGGAAGTGGACGTAGATGTTTGTTCGGAAGAACCAGTGAATGAAAAAAGAAGAAGAAGGAGTAGTAGTTCCTTATTTCCAGTTAATTTATCCTTAAGTAACCCGGACAATAAAGACCATTCTAATTTAAATTCACCTGTTTCGGATAAAGACTCGAGGGTAGGTATTTTATATTTTATGTAAGTAAAATGTAATCCTGCTTATTTGAATTTAATTCTCAATTATTCAGGTTTATTTACCTTAACACTATTAGGTCAGGCCTATATATTTCTAGGTTAATGTGAGATTTCTTGCTTGTAAATACTGATATAGATAGGCATAATTTATTTGACTTTTAATCTAATCAAAAAAGGCTCAAAATAAATTTCTAGCTTTGAACAATACAAAACTTGAGACTTGATCAAAACGGTATTAGAGTTAGCTATATTCTTCTTTAATCGTATCCTCTTTAGCATTCGTAATAATAAAGAAGAGTTAAACACGCGGCATGAAAATAGCATTGCATTCCTTGATGGAATACAACTGGCCAAAACATGGAGCAATCCACAACTGAAAGTTGCCAAACAACAACCCTTTTTAGTTGTTAAATGCTTATGGACTAACTATACCGTAGGCTCTCTCCATCGATGGTAACATCAACCATCAATATACCGGTAACAACGTCTTCAAAATATGAATGTCTCCTGGGCAAAAAGATCAATTAGGCTACTTAATCAATATTTTTTTTTCATTTTGATTTTTTCTGTTTTCTTTCCCAGCTAACTAAGATGTTCTAGATTGGAAGTTTCTCTTTCACATTTGCAATATGAAATATCGGTCTAAAATGGAAGCAGGAGTGCTGCAGCTGGAATTCATTAGGCCTACACATCAATTATTATTAGGCTTACATTGATTTTTGGCAGTATTTAGAACAAGTACCTCAACAGATACTTAGTTATCACACTCTACTCTGTCCAAGACTAGTCCTGTTCGTGATAATTTTAGATTCAATATTTCACCAGCGTTAAAAATTAATTTACAAAAATTTGATTTCTTGTTAAAACCAACATTTAATTTTCATTTAAAACGCCTAGGCCTAATACAATTCAGTTACGGTAAAAGCATTGATATTTTAAAAACATTAAGTTGGGACAAAATCAAAATTTGCACGCTGCACAAAACAAAATGTGCAATAATCCTGCAACTGTAGCAAGTCATTGAGTCAGAGGTGGAGCTTGGTGGTCTTCTCAGCCACAATACACCAACGTGGATTAAATGTTTGGAATGCTTTCTCACAAATCAGTTCCTAGTTGTCACCGAGGAGAGACTAGGTGGTAGTTAACTAACCTGGCTATATGTCGGTACTGTTTTTAGTCAGTGTTTTTTTAATGACACAGGTTTCCCGACAAAATGGCTAATTTCATTGGGATTTATTTATTTATTTTATTTATTTATCGTTTCAACGGCTGGGGATGGAGAGAATGAGAATCACTTTTTTAGTTACTGAAGTTACTTTAAGTCACAGGCTACTTTTTGGTTTCGGTGTTTCTTAAAGCATCCCTCCTGTACCAGAGTCCCAGTTTTTTTACAAAACTGTTTAGTTGACAGGGTTGCTTAACCATGTGGGGTGCATTTCCAATAACTAGTTAGTACCTGTCAAAGTACTTAAACCTTAACAAGTTTACCCCTGTGATTTCTGAAAATGGAATACTAGTGGTAGCCTTCTCTAAGGTTCCAGGCCCTGAGCAAGGAATCACATCAGCAGAACCTTGCTCTGATCAACCCCAGCTTTCAGGAATTGTTTCTCCCCTTAAGTTTGATCAGTTTAGGGAGTGATTCTTGCAGAAAGGGTCTTCTTGGCAGGTTCGTTGCACTCCCCTTCTCCAAGTGGTATCTACCTGCCTTTCTTGTTGCTGTGCAGTATCTATCCTCAGGAATCCTGGGGAGAGGTGTCAAACCAGACAGAGCATCACATGTTCGGGGAAGGCTGTTTAAGTACCGGTACTGTAAGGCACCTGGTAGGAGTAAAAAAAATTTGCAACAGAAAATAGACTCCTTTCAGTCACCTGCTTGACATGGTCCATTCGACAACTTGGTTTCTCCTATGTCCCGGAAACAGAACAAAGGTAAAGCAACAAGAGTGGTTGAAGATCAAGCAAGAGACAGAAATCTAAAAACAAATAATCTATGTATTACTTAGTGGAAGGAAGATAAATCAATAAAAAAAGTCCCTGGTTTAGGCAAGACTGTCAGAGTGGCTAACTGCAGTGGACACACCAAGGTTTATGCATTGAGTTTGTCATTCTCAATGCCCTGTGTTTGCCACACGTTAAGTATAGACTCCTTAATGAACTCGTTGAATGACTTTAATAACTAGAACTAACGCGAGAAGTATCTGTAAAGGTATCAATAACATCCCCAACACGTCTAAGCAAGTTAGCTCAAATCTGACACTGACAATATATTTCTCACTTCATCCACTTAGGCAATTCAACCGTTGGTACGATTAATCTTGTCATAGCAGTTAAAAAACAATGTGAGTAACAGGAAAATGTTATGCGCCTGTCAAATACCGATAGCCAAGGCTCATTACCTTAAGGCCCGGTTCACAAGAACAACATACCTAGCAGACTAGGCTTGGACTAGGTAAGCACGACTGGGTAGCGGACCACAGGATCACACCGGTTCACACGAGCAACATGTCTACGGACTAGGTGAAAACATCGATGTCAAAACCACTCGGTTCCATCACTGGTGCACAATGAGAACAAAGCTAAGAATGCGAGCTGCAGCTTGACTACCCGATCGCTCGTGTGAACGCTCCCATAAGGCTACATGTACTGCTACGCAGTTCTACTGGGCGACTGGGTAGTTGCCACGACGGACTGGGAAGCGGGGCCTGACTAGGTTTTGGGACATCAAGCTCGAACACGACTAGCTAGTCGGCGTCCTAGGCTCGTGTGAACGGCTCCATTTGATCCTGTGGTCCGCTACCCAGTCGTGCTTACCTAGTCCAAGCCTAGTCTGCTAGGTTTGTCGTTCGTGTGAACCGGGCCTAACTTATAGAAATCTCTTGTGAATTGTCGGCTATTGTCAATTCTCTGGTGGGCTAAAATATGTTCTAACAACCTTGTGCATATTTGGAATCATCTGGGGGCTTTTAAGGCCCATTCTACACGAGCTTGAATCCACTGACGGAACCGTCCCGTGACCGCGCCAACATTGTGTGCAAATTACACATGAGGGGTTTCACATTGCGTGAAGTCTGAATCCTTCGGGCCACTCTACACAAGGCGGCTCAGATATGGGATCAACACGGTGGAGCTCTGTAGTCTAGGTGGGTTGTCCAACTCCAGCTTTCCAAACTGCTGAGGAAGAAGAAACGTAAGAAAAGGCGATGGTGGACGCATTCAGCGTTATCAAACAGACTCGCCAAAGAAAGGGACATTCCATGTCTCGGTAGGGCCTACCGTATCTGGAAAAGTTGTTCCATATTTGAGCCTTTATCTGACAAAACGATTCAAATAATCCTTGGTCTTAAGGCTTCGCTCTACCCGTCTGGCGCACGCAAATGCAAGGGTTTTAGTTCTTACTGTTTCTAGCCCCAATTATGAACCGATTTAAAAGATCTTGGTGTCATATTTTTCGTTAAATATTATTGTAGTTATGTCGTTTCTTTTTATTTTGATAATTTTAAAAATGGGCTCAAAGGTTAGAGAAAATTTTTAAATACGCGTTTTTTATCATAAGTTTTAACGAATACAAATAATTTTTTGAGAAAAAATAAAAAAACGGGGAAAGTGCAATAGAGTCTTAAAAACAAGAATCTGTCGTTAGCTTATTAAAAACTTTAAGGATAACGATGTAATCACCCAGATTTGAAAGGCTTGCAAGCGCTCTTCATGGCGCTGTTTAATGCAATGGTATAGAGACATTGGCGTTCAGTAACGTCGTATTGAGAAATCCACGCTGAGGTAGAACGCACCCTTAACATAATACAGTGCAGGCCAAGCTTATTTCTCACAATTAAACCTCTCTGTGTTGAACATCATACCCACCGTGTTGATCCCAATCAACACACCGGACAATAGATTTGAAATGAACTGCAGCCCGCGGTGACACCACTACATTCAGAATGGCTGGGTGGGATTCTTGAAGCGTGTTTTACGCAAACATCAACAACACTGCTGCTTGTATCCAAGTCATGAATTCTGCTTGTGTAGACACACCAATTTAACACAATGGTTCCTTTGGAATGTGTGGTCCCAACAGGGGAATCACGTTGGGTTTCACACTCGTGTGGAATGGGCTTTAAGGTAACAAAACTAATGACTGAAATTCACAATACCACCTTTAAATGGAAAATCTTTGAATGGGTTACTGGCACCTAATGATTTAGCTGAGTGCCAAATTATATTCTCACAAATGTGATATTTCTGTAAATTGACTTCAACTTTGTACTCTGACAGTTCTTCTATTGAACTATTTTTTTTTTTATCAAGAAGCAAAAATATTTGTTACAAAAGTTTACAAATGAAATGAAATGAAATGCTTTATTGTCGTTAAAACTAAGTACAAAGTTCATGACAATCGACAAAAGAAAAAGAAAACAATCAAGATGGCTCTGGCAACTAAATGAAGAGTGAGTGAAGATTAGTGAATAACCCATACATTGACTTACTGTACCAATGAGTTTGGCTTAGCAGAAAAGTCTACATCTTGTATTTTAGGAGTATTAGTGAGTTTACTCATCAGAAGAAGACAGATCTATGTCAGTCTGTATGAAGCATTTTTTTTTCAAAATTGTTGTGTTTTACCAGAGGCAGGTGAAATGTCCTTAGCGTTAGCAATTATTAAGGTTATGGGTTTATTAAAAATTTGGTAACTGTTAGCGTTAGCATCCTCACCACAAATAAACCTAACGGTACGTCCAGAGTGCACGCCGATTCAGAATCAGATTCAGATTTTCGGCGCTTGGTTAATCTGAGTCAGATATTTTGTTGGTGGTCACAGTGGAAGCAGGAAATACACCGCCGGTACCGACTCAGTTATCAAAGAAACAAGTGTTATGGAATTGTCAGATGAGGAATTAACGTGTAAAATTATAGCGTCTGTTTTGAAGTTACAGCCAGTGAAACATGATGTTCATGATAGTGTATTACATATCCTATAGCTAGAAATGATATAGCTTCTTTCTATATTGCGTTGAGTGGGAACCACTGAAAATGTTATTAAAATTGGACATTTTATTGTAAGAAACTGGTACATAGAAAAAACAAATCCTGAAGACCGTTTAGTGTTAACCCTAAAAGTAAGAATGAAAAAAAATAAATATTTTGCAATAAAAACATAGGTTATTTAACTAAATAATATGCGTACGAGCAAAATCTGAATCGGAATCTGAAACCAGAATGAAGAATTCATTCTCGTGAGCAGGTGCCTGCGTGCGGGCACGGAAACCGGCAGCCACTTGCATTTGAATGCATGTGCCATTCCTGCCGCCGAAAATCTGAATCGGCGTGCAGCTAAGTTAAATAACATTTAATATGCCCTAATTAAAACTGAATTTCCCACGTATTTGTTTTTGGCATTTTCCACTGAGATGCTCAAAATCCTCTCAGTATTTCCAGACTCCCGCGGGCTCAAAGTCCCCTGACTACCGGCTAAAAAACCCTCTCATATTATAGGACACTAGCCTGGAACTCTTTAGCAGATTAATTCAGGCTAGGCCTTTTTAACTGTGCCACTAGGGCTTCCCTTCTTATTTTCTTCTGAAGGCTAAGGCCAATCGACCCCCAGAAGTATGGCCTCAGTGAAATGCTTTCAAGACATAGTTACAGGTGCCCTTCTCCTGGAGCATAGCTCCAATGATGTTATCGGGATTGATTTCGTCACCGATCTTGGAGATCAAAGAGGTTCAGCGGACATCCCACCTGTTGCAAAAGAAGAAGGTGTCCTCGGCTGTGTCTGCAATGCTGGGACAGTAGGCCTACAGACAGTCTGAGCTGGAGGCCCTCCCCATTCTGTCAAAAAGGCTCGGAAGTACTCATGACCCGACAAAAACTTGGTCACGAAATACCCAACCTCACCTTGCTCCCATTCCACCCATGGTCGGATGGTGGGAATGAGCCTGGCGGTCCAACATCCCCTAGACTCAGCGGTTGGAACTGCAGTCGCGTTCTTTTCTAGTCACATATAGTCACAAATAGAGTCCTTCAAGTCACCTGCGGTAGATGGCCCGTCAGTCCCTAACGAGATGGAAGACAAGGATGACACCGGCAATCACCATGACTGCAGGCTTGGAGACTGTACGGTAGGCAGAAGCAACTCGCAAGGTTCCTCGACGCTGAAGGCGGGAAAGCCAGTCATAAAAGACGCACCTCTTCAGATCATGGGCCCAGCCCTCAGCTCCTTAGAAGAGCACTCATTGGACAGCAGACTCGAAGCATCGCTACTCCAAGTTTTAGTTCTGAATCTTCGATGTTTCTGCCTGCAACCAGTGTTAAGAAATTTCTGCCAATGAGGCGGATCTTGTCAGGAATTTCGAGTCTGAGCAAATTGTCGTAAGACACGTACAAAGATCGTGTCCTAGGACCTATCTCTATGCAACCCCAGAAGTGATAGGGATCCGACGCTCACCTTCGGTGGTGTCATAAAGCTTTGAGGAGCTTTGAAATTCATTTATCAACTTCTGCCGTCTGCAATCTTAGCCACTCAACTATCAACTTATATCAAGGTCAGGGCATTAGGGTGGTAGAGGTAAAATCTCCCTTTTGAATGAATGAAGGAGATGTTGTGTATTATTTTTTCTTGTGAACCAAGAATTTAGATGTAAACTTTAGTTCAGCAATTTTTAAACTGAATGCATGTTTACCGGACAGAAATTTGATTTATTACATTGTTTCCATACACTTCAATTACATGAAGGTAAATTTCTACAGGTTTTATGTTTTTGGCCCACAAAATCCATATCACAGATAGCACCTCACAACTGGCAGGGATTTTCAATTGCAGCTCACTTTTTCCAATTTGAATATTGCAACAATAGGTAGGTCAATAAACCTCTTGCTGTGGCAGCTGAACAGTCACTGGGGGCAAAACCGTCTGTACTTGAAAATGCATTATTGACGCCCGCTTAAGTAGTATGCAGAAAAATTAATTACTTTTTGAATAGCCTTTGCAACAAAAATCAAATTAAAATCGGACTAAAAATTATGGTTTAGCAAGGATAAGTAGTTAATTAGAACCATTCTTCACAAACTAGTCTTATGCTGGGTTGATGAGGTGAATTATGTGTAGGTTTTTATTATATACATTCATTGAACAGGATTCTAGGGAGTTTTAGTATTTGTGGGCAGGATTTTAACACATGTTATCCTATTTTAATCCAATTAATAAAATAATTTGGTTTTCCTCAAAGTAATTTTTGTTTTGGTTACAGTGTACAGATTCTCCAAGAAAAAAATCCTCTTCGCTCACAGAAGCAGGTAGTGGAGAAGAATCTCAACCCGAAGTGACGCTTAAAACCACCGCCCACATCTTTAGCGAACAGTTACATCTCAAAAGAAAAACTCGGTACATGGAAGACTACCGGACACACGTAGAAGACGACGACCCTCGGAAGCTGCCTGATGAGGTCATCAACCAGCCAGCACCGGAGAACTATGTCGTCACGCCACACAGGAAGCGTAGACCAGGCTTCCACAATGCACCTGCGCAAAACCCACCTTTTGTCCCGTTCTCACCCTGCTACATCGAAGAGATCTCATACCGACCCAGAAGTAACAACCATCCCTTAAGTTCCTCAGCTCCCCCATACCTCATGGACAACTCGTCCAAGTCCAACCTACACCTGCAGTTGCCAGGCGCTGTGGACGACCTGAAGTATCGTCCGCCCAGTGGAGATGGTCATCCCTCTATGTCCCCACGGTCCAACAGCTACCCCTTCGGAGTGGGCAACGCCTCAGAGGGCTCGTGGGGTCCCTGGGCCATTTGTCAGGCTCAGGTTGGTCAGGCCCCATCTAGGAGTGAGGAACCACCCAACCCAGGTGAAATATACTGCAAAAATGATTATCACTTAGGCCCCGGGAACGATACGAGCGGCGCCCTCTGACATTGGGTCTCATTTAGTTGCAAAGTTAATTTGTTGAGTGTAGCCACAATACGTATAAGCAGTGGTAAGCAATGCCACTCATGGTTCCAAATCCATACCGATTTTCGTGAAAACGCCACTCGCCGCTCAGGTTGAAGCTCGACACTGGTATCGTACCCAAGGCCTTACTGTCAAATACTCTTCATTCATAATTTATTTATCACATTACTTTAAGATCTAAACAGTGACAATTGTAATTAAATGAAAACTTACTAAGTAAGAGGCCTACTTTCAATCAAAGTTTCTGTAAAGCGTTGAGAGTGTTGGTGGTAAATTCAGTTTATGGTATCAAAGCACCATCATAAATTCCATTAAACTTTGGTCACATGAAATGGCTAATTTACGAATACACCCTCTTTATTATTATCTTTTGCAAGTATTTATTTTCTTCACACAGGTATAAATTATTTTCTACTTTTTAGTTTGTGTTTTACGTTTTAAACGTATTTAAAAAGGAATTTTTTATTTCTTCCATTCTTCCAAAATGTAAACATTGAAACTTTGGAAGCCCATGGAGCGTAGCGCAAGGGAAATATGAAAATTAAATGATTTAATATTTCATTGTCATCCATTTGTGAAGTATGTTTCAAGTTTCAAGTCTCTTGCTCATCAGGAAATTAGTTTAAAATCAATTGAAAAATTTGTACCGAATAGACAAAATACCCCCGCCGCAGCAAACCTGCAGACTAAGCGAATTTCCATTAGCCTGATAGGATTTCACATTAAAATGCTTCCTTAAAAATATCATATTTATTCCCTATTTAAATAGAATTAGTTTAACAAGTACTTAGGTTTGCTGCATCAGGGAGGGTAAAACTGTTTTTTTTTTGTTAAATGTGAATAGTTAGTAAGAAATAAAAACTTTTCCAAATTTGATCAAAATATGTTCACAAACAAGCAAACTACAACAGTTTACTTATTCTCCATAAGAATAACATGGGAATTTTAAATTTACAATTTTTTGGAATTTTCTCCGTGACTATTAGGCGCATAATAACGCTTCAATATACTAAATTATTTGTTTTTTTAAGCTCTACAAAATGGTTTGGAAAGAAATTGCTAAATTTTATGTTTTTTGGGTCAAAAATGGGAAAAACCTATTTTTACCCCATAAAACCCCCCGTAAACCCCCGTTCCCATAGTCCGATCATGCTGGATCGCGAACTCGATCGAATAAACGTAGGTTTACACGTTTGTACCAAATTTCATCAAAATCGGATCATTTTTGCTCGAGTTATCGTGCTGACGGACACATATATATATATATATATATATAAATATATATATATATATATATATATATGAATTTGAACGGATGGTGTTTTTGGCCTCTAGGGACCTCAAAACGAAAAAAAAAATCGGTCCCGCGTCCAGGTCTTACCATGAGTACTACGGTAATAGCTTATTCCCTATATGGGAAATTCGCTAATATTCCCTATATGGGAAATTCGCTAAAAGCGAGCTAATAAAAACGTTTAAAAATACTTGAACCAGGTCTGGTATATATTAACTATGCTACAGAATGAGCTATATCATAATCTTTTTACACATTTTTATACCTCTACGATCACTGATGTAATACCACACACACACATTTTTGAAACTTGGGAAACAAAATTTGACTGTAGGTTTTAGCGAATTTCCCATATAGGGAATAAGCTACTACCGTAGTACTCATGGTAAGACCTGGACGCGGGACCGATTTTTTTTTCGTTTTGAGGTCCCTAGAGGCCAAAAACACCATCCGTTCAAATTCATATATATATATATATTTATTTATATATATATATGTGTGTCCGTCAGCACGATAACTCGAGCAAAAATGATCCGATTTTGATGAAATTTGGTACAAACGTGTAAACGTACGTTTATTTGAACGAGTTCGCGATCCAGCATGATCGGACCATGGGAACGAGGGTTTACGGGGGGTTTTATGGGGTAAAAATAGGTTTTTCCCATTTTTGACCCAAAAAACATAAAATTTAGCAATTTCTTTCCAAACCATTTTGTAGAGCTTAAAAAAACAAATAATTAAGTATATTGAAGCGTTATTATGCGCCTAATGGTTACGGAGAAAATTCCAAAAAATTGTAAATTTAAAATTCCCATGTTATTCTTATGGAGAATAAGTAAACTGTTGTAGTTTGCTTGTTTATGAACATATTTTGATCTAATTTGGAAAATGTTTTTATTTCTTACTAACTATTAACATTTTACAAAAAAAAAAACAGTTTTACCCTCCCTGATGCAGCAAACCTAAGTACTTGTTAAACTAATTCTATTGAAATCGGGAATAAATGTTACATTTTTAAGTAGACATTTCAGTGTAAATCCAATCAGTCAAATGGAAATTCGCTTAGTCTGCAGGTTTGCTGCGGCGGGGGTATTTATTTACTTCATGGTTTTATTTTGTTATCCGGTTTGTTTTAATTTTTACTCTTGGCTGTAGGTGGTGAGGAGATGGAAGCCAGCGGCACGCCGGGCAGCAAGCCAACACCAACGCGAGAGTATCGCTGCGAGTACTGCGGCAAACAGTTCGGCATGAGCTGGAACCTCAAGACACACCTCCGCGTCCACACAGGGGAGAAGCCTTTCGCGTGTCGTCTCTGTGTAGCGATGTTCAAGCAGAAAGCGCACTTGTTGAAACACTTGTGTTCCGTACACAGAAACGTGATCTCGGTCGGTGGTGGAAACAGTGATGGAGACACGGGACATTTTAACTGTTGTTTTTGTTCATTGACGTTCGAGTCGTTGCCCGAACTTATACGACACTTGTCAGGTCCTCACAATAATCTTCTCCTTAGTAAAAACCTTCACGATTAATCGGAAGTGTTCACTCAAATTTTCCAACATGACACTTTTCAAAAGGTGAAACCTGAAAATGTTACGATTTAAAGCTTTAGAGTCCATAGATACATGGTATTTAGATCTCAAAGAAAAGTTTAGGTATAGGATTTACTATCTGAGATACCTTTTACACATACTTTCTATAGTACGAGGATATAAAGTAAGTCTGTGGCTCAATTGACTGACTGTGAAACCGAGGTTGTGATGTCTTGGATTTACTTTCCCGTGACATATTTTGAAATTCATCAGTACTTTTCATTCTTGTAGTGTACCAGCCCCACCTCTTGCTTCGCCTATCACATACTGGCCTCTGGGTCTCAGGGCCACTTTAGTAAATGGGCCCGGACCCAGGGCTCAAGAGGTTTTAGGAATGTTAGGGACGTAAGGAAAAGAATCAATCAATCAATTATTTGAGATGAGGACGTCACCTAGGTGCGTATTTTAACCCAAATATGAGTGAAGGATGATTGTAGAATGGTGTGAAATGATCCGTGTAGCTTTGTTACTGACTAAGATCAGCAGGTTCATCAGTCAGGATCATATTGAAAGCCCAATGATCAGGAACAGCTGGGCCTGGTTTTGAACCATCAAAAAGCTACTAACTTTTCGATTGTTAGGCAAACACTTTAGAAAGATTCCCATGCAAGTAAGGGGCACAATTCTTGGAACCTTAGCGTGTAACAAGCAAGTCACGGGCCTGCTGGGTCCCATATAAACCGGCAAAAGCTTAAAACAGAAAGAAATAAACCCCTACAGCAATGGTTTTGATTTCTGCAGTCGCATGTGGTTTAGATAAGAACGCAGACTTACTTTTGAATTGTGATAGAATATGCAGTAATCAAATTGTTGGACTTGAATACTGTATTCATTAAACTTAGTAAAAAAAAATAGCAACTCTACAACTCCATTATTTTTTCTACTATCTTATGGTAACTAAATTTTGATATATGTCAAACTAAGTAAAAAACCGTTAACAAAAAATAAATTATATGGATATTTAACTATAAGAAATTATTGAATTGTGATATTTTCCAGGTTTCGATAAAAATACCCCTTGTACAGAATGAACAAAGTGATCTCATGCAATGACCTAATTGTAGATCTCATTATCAAACATGAGAAGTTGTCATTTTGGAAAATTTGGATTTTATTTTGGGCATTCAATAAAACTATCAGAGTAAGTTTATATAATTAGTCATGTGATTTTATATTGTGCTATGTAACTTCCATGGTTTCTTTATTTACTGTGCATCACTTTATAATGTTGATTAACCTTATTCCTTTTTAACCGCACATCACCTTCTAAGTTTAGCACCATCTTTCTTTATGTTCAAAATATTCTGACAATATCTAAGTTTGCATGATTGTGACAATAATAGGAAATAAAGAAATCCTAATTAGTGCCTTAAAAAGACTATTTCACAATTTATATATATCAAGATATAAGAGGCAAATATTTTGTTCATGAAAAAATAATACGTCATGTTATCATTGACTTTTGGATACTGAAGTAGACATCCCATCTTTATGAACTAGCTATTGTTTTGTTCAAAAAGAACTTAGTTATATAAATTTTCATCACTCTTTATTTGAAAATAGTCCATTTCCATACAGCTGAGATCTTCGAAAATCGTCGAATTCCATACTACAAAAACAAATAGTGATCAGCTGATTATTCCTGATATAAACATTAATTTCACTACACAAACAATACTTTGACATCAAAAAAGTTACAACTGAAGTTCCCGGTTAGCTTTGGCAGTTTTTTGATGTTCAATCAGCTTAATTTTACACTGAAATTAATTGTAGGTACAGCCGTATTGTGTTTTGACATAGATTAACCAACACAAGTAGACTTCTCATCCCATTTTAAATTTTGAAGCACGTTTTTCATGTCTGGTTCATGTACGTGACACTGGGCGCTAGTGTCGACGAAACTTTGTTTCTATTATTTTAGGGTTAATTTCTTGATTTGTGCTTTAATGTTTGGTTATATACCTAGGGGACAAGTTATTGTTTATGATTAGATCGTATTATTTGGTTAAACAAGGTTTTAAATGGCTGTAATAACGGGAAACAAATTGTAAACAAAACACGACCTCTACATAAACTGTACAGAACTAACAATAAAATTGTCTTCAGCTGTTCCATAAGGATGAGAAATCTACTAAGGGAGCATGTTTTATCTATGGTTTTGATTAGAAAAATTAATAGATTACGAAATATCGGATACAGTTTGATGAAGTAGTTTTTTTCATTGTTATGAGTATCATTCGATACTCGTCACGAAAGTTCCATTTCGGGGCTCGATAATGTTTCCTATGCTCATCTCGGCCCGAGATGGGTCACTTACTAGTAGTGAAATATACTATTACTGAGATTGTTATTGTGACAAAAGATGCAATAGCTTACACCGTCCTATGAGTTTGATTCGGTAAAAAAGTTGAAGCATCAACACAAAACAATAATTTACATCCACACACTCTACTGTTCAAGTCCATTTTAATTCTATAACTGGCAAAAACTTTATCATGGAGATGCAATGTCTAGTTCTACCAATACAACAGTTAAAGATCTTAGTCAGTATACTTAATAAGTCTAATAGTTGTAGAATGAAATTACTTTAAGCATATTTTTCTTTCTGCAAATCCCATGATATGTTCTACATAGATGAAACTATCACACATATATGGCGCTTTATCTTTTTAATAAATACTGCTATATTTTAAATGATTTGCAACCGATACAAACGTATACTGTCCCACCTATCTCCTCAGTTTGACAATAACATGTTGTCATCATTTATATAGGCAATCAAAACTTTGTTGTTTGTTGGTTAAATCAAGCTTGAAAAGCATGATAATTGATGTATTAAATTTTAGCAACAAGATTTTTAAATCCGTATGTTTAATTCAGTACTGTACAGCATTTACCTTTTTCACTATATAGCAATATATAGCCTACTTTAAACTTTTTCTGTGTTTTTTAACTGTTTTAAACTAACAAAGAACTGTGATATTAAAATGTGAAAATATTTATTAAAGTGGAAAAAGTCCTGAATGTCTATCGTTTGTAAATAAATTTACTTGTAAAATAAGTGTGTAGTTGTACAAATACTAGCATTTTTTATGTCGCTAGATTTAGTTTGTATTAGGCCATTTTCACTCTTTTTCATGAAACACATTTTATTTTATTCCCAAGAGATTTACAAAATATTTTTCCTACAGTCACCCGACAAAGTTGGCTTCCTTGTACTGTTTATAGTACAGAAAGCTGCTAATTGCTGCATATTTATACTTTGCCGTACGGTTTATACTTTGTCGTACGGTTTATACTTTGCCGCACATCAGGATTGCAACTAAACAACACAAAACAGCGTGGTTCTATTATGCACGTAATCCGTGTACGCTTGGAAATAGGTTGGCAACACTTAAAGATAATAATCCTATGAGCAGCTGATTGACTAATATAACCACGATTTAACCTGTCATTTAGTGTTTATAGTTTCGGTATTTCTGAACTTTCTGGACTTTTCGTTTAAACGTTTTTAAAACATTCCTACGATCTTAATAAACAAGAAAATACCTTTAAAGCATTTTTTTTAGGCGCGGAAACCACTTCAAATTACAAAAACATACGGAACTATATTCTCAAAACGCGGAGCACATTTCTTGCCGAGGAAAAATTGCGGAGTGATACGGACCACGGGTACTACTTTCTCTAGGGCACCCTTTGTGTTGCCAGCTGAACCTAAAAACGTGTTGTATAGTGTTTGAAAGACTAATTATTTATATGCTTTATAGTGACTGTAGGAAAAATATAATGTGTAACACGAGTGAAAAAGGCCTTTGCTGCACTCGAGATCATTCCGCACTCGCCTGCGGCTCTTGCGTAAACATTGCTCTCGTGTGCAGCAAAGTGCCACTTTCACCACTAGTTACACAAATAACTATTGTGGTTACCAATAAATACATAAACAATTGAAAAACGATGTAGAATCTGTTTAACAATAATAGTATATTACGTTACTAGCTCGGTAAGTGGTGTTTTACCGTGCGAGCACGACTGTTTTTCGTGCGAGTACGGTAAAGCTTACTGTGTGAGTATTGTACGATACCACAGAAAACGTACTTGTACTATAACCCAGAATGCCACCGCATGGTAAAAAGCATTAAGCGGTTTGAGAGAGCTTTGCCTGTCAATCCGTAGGCAGCGCCACCAGCGTTGCTATGCTCTCTCAAACCGCTTAATGCTTTTTACCATGCGGTTGGCATTCTGGGTTATAGAAGTACGTTTTCTGTGACGATACTTGACACTTGACACCATACTACACAGAAAAATTAGTACATTTTAAACTCATTTTACAATTTATTTAGGACACAACATAAATTGTAATATTTTTATATTTCAGAAAACAAAATAGGCCGTTGCAATTAGCTGTTTATTTCATCAGCTGACCAAGTGCAGTAAAAGTACATTACATTACTTTTCCGTGTGTAGGCATGGCAAAGGGCAACTTTCTAGCCTATCAATATGGATGGAAAAGTATCTGTTTCTGTGTAGTATGATGTAAACATATTTTTCGTTAAACATATAACCATAGACAAATAGAATAAATAAACACTGTCAAAGGAAGGTTCCGGTGCCCACCGCTAGGAGTGTCGTGTAATTACGGCGCACACCGCTGCAGGTGAGGAGAGCAGGAGCCGTATGCTACCAGCAGACACTGCAGTGGTGTGCGCCGTAACTACGCGACACTCCTAGCGGTGGGCACCGGGACATATGCTAACCGCAGCACTGCTGCCGGTCTATATTCATTCTATTTTTCTATCATATAACTAAGGGGTAGAGTTAGTCATAGTTGCCTAACTTTGGTGCAATAAGCAGGAACTCAACTTAAAAAACCTCCAAATCTCATCTAGGAATTGTACATCTATTTGTTCTTAAACTTTTCAAACCACATTTTGACACACCATAAAACAAGTGCTGTAAACATTTCTGACTTTTGGGGAAAAGATCAATTTTTTCCGGTACACTGAAATCTTTTGAAAACATGAAATTTAACAACTATTAGCATTCATTGGATTATTGTAAATTTGAAACACATGTTCTATACTTCAGTATAAACTTGTATTTTAACACCTTGTTAGAAAATGCATACCTAACCTTAAAGTCTAGAATCTTGAAATTCTGTGCTGAAGTTTCTTTAGGATCTGAGGGAGCACTGAAATCGGTTTTAACATCTACCCCATGAAAAATGAGCGTTTTAAGATCCAGTCAATATTTTAAACGTCCTGAAATTGCTCGGAAAACTTACCAGAAGTGTAAAAGTAGCTTAACGTGTTGTACTTTTATCTGATAAAAATATTGTATAGCTCTCAATCTTGCTAAGCAAGGTACAGAAGCATCGTAAAATAATTATTACTAGCCATTAACTTGTTTTTGATTATACAATCCTTTAAGTTGGGCCCTGAATTGAATAACTCTTACTCTAAATACTAGCTAACAGAGTAACAGAGCAAAACCCTAGCATTCAGTATACACAAAAGTATACAAAAATTCCATTTAACAAGTATTAATATTGTGAATAAGATAATAATTACTCTTCTTTTAAACTTAAAATAAAGGTACAAGAAAAGTTGGCTGCCAAAATTCTACATTGCACTACTACATATCTTTATCCATAATGCTTCTACGCTCTTTACACAAAAATAATTGTTTATGTATTTATTGGTAAACTTTTAACTAAATATACAATATTTTTTGTAGTCTTATGAAAGTTAATGGATGTTAATCTCTTATTATGATTTTGTATATCTGTTAAGTAATTTGGGCGTTAATATTCTGTAATTTCTATGTTTTAAATCAATGTCAAATCTTTTTTCAAGCATAATTTTAAATTGTGTTATTTCATACAAAAGTGTTATCTTAATAAATGAGATTGTGTACTTACCAGTATTTTAAAAATAATCTAGAACTGGTGAATTAATTTGAGTTATTTCAATAGAAGCAAACACCATAAATGATTTTGAAAATTTTAAATTTCCAAAGATTTGTAAAGAAAAGGCCAGTATAGTTAATATGATGTTGCTATAATGATCGCCAACTTAAATATTTTTCTACAGTCTTAGAATTTTACAGATATCACTGTTAACACAAATTGTATTTTTAAATTGAAAAAGAATGATTGACACTAATAATTTATTGTAATGTAAATAACGTTTAGTTGTAAGTAGGATTTTCATTAAAACTAAGAAATACGAAGTAATTTTGCAAGTACAAAATAATTGTAACGATCATAATACAATGTGTTCATTCTTAGATTAGTTGTCACGTTGTTGCCTTATGTAAATAGATAATAAAGACACACACCCCTACCTTGTCTATTTTTGCTTTATCTGAGATATAGGTTTTGTCAACTTTCTACTCAGGTAAGTGTCTTTCCCCTGTTCCTTTCTTTCTTTTTGTTATTGTTTACTTGAGAAAAAGGCGTAATAATATATTACGGAAACTAGCTGTTTACCAGGAAAGTCCTACTAAAGTAAACACATTTTGGATGAGTGCCGTCTGAGGTACAATATTTTTTGCCATACCATTTTAAACTACGGTATCCTACAGGGCATAAAATAACTTGTTAACTGGGCGACACAAGTGTCACCCAGTCCTGAGATTTTGTCGCCCAGTGACTATGGGTGGTGCCGGCATATTTTTTTAATGGTCCACATTTTAAATTTATCGGAATTTAAAAAGTAACATTAGGTAAATATTTTAGAGTAGGGTATTGAACTATGATTTTGCCCCAAGAGGTTGTGAAGGGAGCCTTGGCCTGTTACAACGTTCTAGAATACGTAATTAAGTGAGATTAAATGGACTATTTGCAAGCAAATATAATAGAAAAATGCATTAAAATATACGTAGAAATGTGTGATTTCACCTTAATTTATGCAAAAATTTCAGGGGGGAACCCTCGGACCCCCCTTTTTGATGGGGGTATTCCCCCCAGACCCCCCAGTAAGTCCGGTGCCACTGTCGCCCAGTGGAAATTCCTTAAAATATGCTCTGCTATCCTAACAATAAAAAAATGTTTAAATCCATTATATATTCCCACCAACTAAAGGATTTAACCATCACCACTCATAACTTCTTTAAGAAGTTATAATTTCGTTTATTGATTCATTGACCTATTGCCAATTATAATCAGCTGGTGTCCGGTGTTACTAGTCCTGAAAATAGGTTTTTGCGGACAAGTGTGGTTGTGTTCCCAAGCGAGATGAAGTCGAGTGCGGGATTACCATACGAGTCCAGTAAACACATTTTGGACGAGTAACGTACGATGTTTTATGCCATACTACTCTAATTTAACTTATCAATAAAAATCCTTATATATACCCACCGACTAAAGGACTAACAGTGTATCTAATAATGTATAAAATGTACACATTTCACATGTAATATACATTATTAGATACACATTATGTGTTAATGTATAAAAAGGACAGCAAAGATGTTAGCGTACAGCCACATTGATATGTTAAGTCTATCGATATGTAAAATCAACGAGACACATGCTATAAGGGTGTGTAACTGTATTAGCTGTCTCAAAGGTCAGCAATGACTGGACATAAGCAAAGTACCGGTATGCCATTTTTAATTAACTTAATTGACAGGATTTATTTGAAGCAAAAATATATTTCAGAATTTTTTGTCTGAGATAAACAATACGAGTATTCCATTTCAAACGCTAAAAAAACACAGAAATATTTGTACGTGTCTACATTTTCAATACTATCGCATCGACAGTTAGGCCTACTTCGATGGTTATTACAATTATGAATAATTAAATTAGTTAAATCAAATTGTGTATTTTTACTCATACATATATTGGCATGAATTTGCTCTTGGTCACATTTAGTGAAATAATGTTTTGATCCAACCATCATAAGATCATGTATCACCCCCCCCCCCCCTTATCACGTACCTGGGCCAAGACTTTCCCAGAAGGAAAATGAAGGTATCTTCACCAAATAAAAACATTTTACCAAACATGGTTAGTTTAGAAATGTAATTTTTATACAGGGTGTCTTGCAACCATATGAACAAACTTTGTCACGTTATTCAGCATGTCAAAAGAAACAAAAAATGAAAATAACTTTTGTCCTATCTCATTCCGTTTTCAGTCTATCTCTGTATGTATGTGATTTTAACAAAAAACAAATCAGCATTCATAACTCCTTTACTGCTTGAGCTACAGCGTTGGAATTCTGTAAAAATGTTTATGTTATTGACCACTATGTTTGAGAAAAATATGAATAAAAACTCTTGAAACGTTTAAAAATGGTGGTTTTACAAAATATGTTATGCCAAATTCCATGACAACCACTAATTTTACAAAATATTTGCAGGGTAGGGTAGGTAAAATCTAGTAAATTCATGCAAATTACAACGATATCTTATAAGCCTTCTTTGGACAAAGAATACAGTGTGACTGAGAAATAAATTGTTTTTTTTGCTATACCTTTAGTTTTCTCCATAATGTTTAAACTTATTTACCAACTTATTCTTCATTTAGTTTTTAAAACTAAAGTAGTTTTATCAATTTAACATTGTTTAAATGGAGAAAACTGTAGGTATGGCAAGAAAAAAATTAATTTCTCAGTTATTCTTTGTCCAAACTAATCTTATAAGATATTTTGGTAGGTAATCTGCATAAAATTTAGTAAATTTTACATACCTTGCAAATATTTTGTAAAATAACGGTTTTTGTGGAATTCGGCATTAAATATTTATAAATGCCGCCATTTCAAAACAGTTCAAGAGCTTTTATTCATATTTTGCACAAAATAGTGGTCAATAAGATAAACTTATTTACGGAATTTCACCGTTGTAGCAGTAAAGGAGTTATAAATGTTTTTGTAAAAATCACATACATACAAATAGACCGAAAGCAGAATAGCATTTCGAAAACGTCCGGGACAAGTATACAATAGTCGTGTTTTAAAGTAAAATAGTGTGGCTACATTGTAATTTAACCAAGCCAGCTTTTTTTAAGTAAACCAGAAAAGAAGAAGAATTATATCATCTGGTTTGTTATTAAGTTCGTTAATATGTATTTTAAATATCATTTAATGCAATTCTTTTGTTAATAGCACGTTTAATCCACCATATACATCTTTGGTACTTTTTTTTACTTTTTTAGCGAATTTCCCATATACGGAATAAGCTATTTAATACTTTTCTTTGAAATGGCGACCATACAGCTAAAAGAAAACCAAATACCCACGCCGCAGCAAACCTGCAGACTAAGCAAATTTCTATTTGCCAGATTGGATAACATTAAAATGTCTCCTTAAAAATATCACGTTTATTCCCTATTCTTTAATAGAATTAGTTTAACGAGTACTTAGGTTTGCTGAAACAGGGAGGGTAAAAAAGTGGTTTTTTAATGTTAATAGTTAAGTACAAAATAAATTGAATTTTCCAAATTTAATCGAAATATGTTCATAAACAAGCAAACTACAACAGTTTACTTATTCTCCACAAGGATAACATGAACATTTTTTATTTAAATTTTTTTGGAATTTTCTCGGTAACCAACAACGCTTCTCGACATAACAACGCTTCAATATACAGTACTAAATTATTTGTTTCTTTAAGCTCTACAAAATAGTTTGTAAAGAAATTGCTAAATTTAAATTTTATGTTTTTTTTGTTGTTAAAAATGGGAAAACCCAACTTTTACCCCATAAAACACCCTATGAAATAAATAAATGTAATATTTTTAAGGGGATTTTTTAGTGAATCCAATCAGGCAAATGGAAATTCGCGTTGTCTGCCTGTTTGCTGCGGCGGGGTTATTTTACAACCGCTTTTGTAAAGTGCAGTTAACGTTTTTAGTAGTAACTAATAGGATTAATATTTAAATATTTTATTAAACTTATAGGATTAATAAAAAGGGCGATACTGTGATAGTCTGGATTCCACCTATCATTAGTTTTGTGCCATCATTTTTGACATATTATATTAACATATAGGAAATTATTGCCAGCGTACGTTATGTTTGTGCTCAACTCCGATGTTTTATGTACTGGATTTTGAAATTGTCGATACCGGTAGTTAATTCTTTGAGAAATGCATTAACAGTGTTTATACCTTAAATTTGTAAAAATACGTTGAATGCAGTTAAACAGGAATAAACAACATTTCTCATATATTTACACAACACCCTGTGTTTTGATTACTGTCCAAGTACTGACGTTACTTTACATTTTTACAATATCCAAGTAAGGTTTTACTTTACCCGATAAATTAACATCTTTATTGTTTCTACGTGGACAATCATTTCGGATAAGGGTAATTCTTGCGACCTAAGGGTATGGAGTAGCCCCTTTGTGGATCGTATTCACAGTCTAAACATAAACAAAAATTACTTGATTATTCGAAACTCTACATTCTTACAGCTGACACTACAACTTAAACCTTCACTTCCACGGAATGTCCAGAGTTCAAGGCCTAGCCATAGACGTATATCATCCAACGTAGCGGCCCGTAACGTCCAAGGAGGTATCAGACGTACACATTTATTATCTAACGCGCGGCCGCCGCGCCGGACCGGCCTGACCGGACCGTTAATCCATCGTAGACGATAAACAAGCCTTATTAGCAGCAAACCGTTAGCTCCAGTCGTTGCCCTCGGATGCTGCGATCGAGATCTCAGAACACGTTTGTACCGATCCGCTGGTCACAGTCCATAGCCACCGCAGGAACTGAGGAACATCGTCGCCCTGGACGTAACGCTTACTGCTGCTCTTCTCTTCAACAATCATCAAGATTGGGGAGGTGTCATCTTTCCTCGAATAATTTGTTTCTCAGGATTTATGAGTCGTACTTTCCTTATTGTAATGTATTTTCTGCTATAAATTCGTCCAGGTTGTAGTAGGGGCGATCCGGAAGATAGTTTTTAAGATGGAGAATTTGGTTTTATCTTTGTAGTTTTTGAGCCAATTTGGTAGTAAGTTAAATAATGTTATTCCTTTACATCTTGGGGTTCCTTCGGGGTTTTTCTTATTTATTTTGGGTTGATATTTTTCCTTCTGGTGTTGTAGTTGTGGATGTAATTTATTTTTATAGGATCTGATTTAATCGTTTGGTTTGTTACTTGATTTAGATACAGGAATGTCAATGTTATGGAGATTTTTTTAGACAGATTATTTGCAGTTTTCTTGATAGTGGAGTTTACTTAAGGTTCTTATTGCGTCTTCCCGTAGTATACAAATTGGTTGAAAAAGGTCTGCACTTGCTGTGCTCTAGGCAACAATTCAACATCTAGGTGTGAATATTCAAAGTATTTCAAGTTATTCTTTTTGGGGCATAAATTTAT